TGTGTGTGTGTGTGTGTGTGTGTGTGTGTGTGTGTGTGTGTGTGTGTGTGTGTGTCTGCAGTCTCAAGCTCTCCCCCTCACTGCCCTCTCCTCACCAACGTGGCTGCTTGGTAGCATATGGCGTCTCCGGCGCGCATTCTCAGACGGCGAAGTTTATTGCTGCTAAGCGCAGACAGGTGCGGCAGAGATTTCATTTTCACTTTTCTTTTCTGCTGATTTGCAATTTTTCCCTTTTTCATTTTAGACATTCTCCTGTGCATCTTAACAGGAAGAGCGAAAGCAGTTGAGGCAGAAGCCATAGCTGCCTCTCCCTTCGCCCGCCCGCACTACGCTCCGACTAAACGAACGCAGCGCGCGCTGGTGCACGTCACCAGCCCAATTTCCAGTTGAACTCAACCGAAAACTCCAGTCAACTGTTCCCATTGACTGGTCAGACTTTCGTGGAGCACCTCCGCTCCCACGCTCCTTCTTACTTTTTCCTATTTTTTCAAGGATCCCGGCTCCCCATTCTCGCCGCCGGCTGTGCCTGTGAATAACTGAGACCCGCAGATCAGATCTGATTCAAATCCCACATCTCTCTGCCCCTACTACCGAGGCAAAACTGTCTCACCCACTCGTTGCTGGCCTTTGTTTCCCGAGCGCCCCTTTTTTTTCAGGGAACCTACAGTAGAGTAGTCCTACTGCGGCACAGTTCAAAACGCCCGTTTTTTGGGTTGAGATTTGGCCTTGAGATATCATCATAGAACTGACTGGTCCGTCCTTCGGGACATCCGTTAAAATTGGAACGACACAGTAAAAAAAAAAGATCCTTCGATTTATGCGTGTCCTAAAAAATCGTAATCGAGGGTGAAAAATGAATAATCCAGGGTAGTGGGATCTGACCCTAAATCGCCTACCGGTAGGACCAGTCAGTTCGATTTATGCGTGTCATCCTTCGATTTATGCATGGGCCCTGCGCAAGGATGACACGCATAAATCGAACTGAATGGTCCTACCGGTAGGCGATTCAGGGTCAGATCCCACTACCCTGGATTATTCATTTTTCACCCTCGATTACGATGATCAACGGTCAGAAATGAACAATAGGGGCTAGTGGGATCTGACCCTTAGAGCTGCAGTATTTTAATGATCTGCATCTGCAGCAGAGTTCGAACTCATGTCACTATTTCTACAGTTCGCCCGTCAGGGGTGCATTTTATGCCCCTGAGACATTTTTTTGTCGTCCTCCTTTTCCTTCGTTATTACCGGTCGTTCATTCCGGCCCATTGGTCCTTCAAAGGCTGGTAAAATGAAAGGCACTTGCATTTAGGGGGGGGCAGCAGTTCAAGCAAATGCAGGACCGGTAGCTGCCCGTGGCGCAGGGCCTAGAAAATTCGAATCTGAAACGGTGAAACGGTGTGGACCCAGGCCTGAAACGGCGTGCGGGCCGCAGGGCCTTGAAATTCGAATCTGAAACGGTGTGGCCCCCGGGGGCCAAGTCCCACTAGCAGCGTTAAGCTACCTCAACGCCTGAATCTGGATGTGTTTGTGGAGACGTGCAGTTCAGTAAACTCACACCATTTCTGCACATCTCCGCAAAAGCAGCCAGATTCAGGTCTTGAGGTAGCTTAATGCTGCTAGTGGGACTTGGCCCCGGTTGTCTGCGTGCCATCTCTCTCTCTCTCTCTCTCTCTCTCTCTCTCTC